TTAATTACAGAAAAATGTGTAATCAATTAGGTTTTTTAATCGATTGACAGCACTATACATTATAATACAATACAATCCAATAGAGCATAATATAATATAATATAATACCTGTAACTGGAGCCATACACTGAGTTCCACCGCATGCAGTTCTGCAGCATTTCTGATTTTTGGGACACTCACTGTCACCGACACACAACTCGACATCCTTCATGATACACCTTATGTCACTGTTTATCCTTGGACACACTCCTGGCTTTTCTGTTATACAGACACATGACAGAGAATATATCACTGAATGCTGAATGATTTTTTCACTGTAGAAAAATATTTTGGAAGTTATATCGTTATGTTATGGGAATATATTTTACTTGAAAGAACTATTTCAGTCTTTCTACTTTAAAATTTCAGGTTTTATTCGTCGTGGGTTTTGGTGCTTTTGCTGTTCTTGGCTGTAAGGACCTTTGAAAAAACTGAAATCATTTGGTGAAGGGATGTAAACATGTAATGTGTTCGGTCCTGCTTGAAACCACTTTAGCTGTGTGTTTCCCTCAAAATAACTGCACACCTTACAATCTTCAAACAAATAAAAATATACAAAGGACTTTTTAAAGAATGATTAATTACAGAAATGAGCAACTAATTAGTTCATTTGTTTTATCCATTGACAGCACTAAATAATGTAATATAAAAAAAATATAATACCTGTAACTGGAGCCATACACTGAAGTCCACATCCATTATTGCAGCATTTCTGATTGTTGGCACAGTCACTGTCATCGGCACATGACACGAATTTTATCCAGGTACACTCTTCTGCGCCATATCTAGTGCCTGGACACACTCCTGGGTTTGCTGTTACACAGACACATGACAGAGAAGCCAAATGTTTTATTCATCATGGATTTTGGTTCTTTAAATGTTACTTTTAGGCTAAAGACTTTCACCAATTTTGAACCTTTTTTGAGACAATTTCACACAGCCGCCATTTTGAAATCGAAAGCGAGGCCCCGGTGGGAAGAATCCCGAAAGTACAGAGGTCAAGGTGGTCAGCGAAGACAAAGAACAGTAATATCTGATGAAATCTGTGATTGACCATGTTCTTGTCCATGGTACGAGCATGAGGGAGGGTGGCTGGACAGTCAGTGGTTTTGCAATTTGTGTCTCAAGCTTATTCACATATTTATATTATTGTTGTTGTCGCTGTCAATGACAACCAGCTCAGCTCATCATCATCATCGTTTCACAAAATATACGGATATACGGCATCTCTCTGTAGATTTAGCTTGTCAAGAAGCTTTAAATGCAACGCCAATGTTTACCTGTGTCATGCTTTTTCTCCTGTCCCAAACCCTTCTCGGGTCATATTTTTCACCCGTACGTTTGAGCACTACTGAGCTGGCTGTAGCAGCAGAACGTGCAGGCAAAGCGTAATCGTGGTCCATAACAACAATACAGACGAATAGAAATATTTATATTATTTATATTACGCTCCTTCAATGAATGACCTATTTTAGAACATTTTTCATATATAGAGCGCACCGGATTATAAAGCACATAAGATACTGCAGTCAAACGTTTGACTGGGTTTGCGTTATGCATCCAATATGTGCTAAAGGCTAAAGGGAATGTAGTGAGTGCTCGGCGCCGGAGGTGAGGCGTTTATTTAGGAAGCATGAGCGCGCTGAAGCGGGCACGTACATTCGCAGCCTGACTCATATGAGTATTCAATGTGCGCGGCTCGCTAACAGCAATAGTTGGCTGTTTTGAATGAGACGACACGGTTACTGTGAACGGGGAGCGCTTTATGCGTGAGCAGCACCGGGGACAGTGTGTCTGTTAAGAGTGAGCGCTCGTGAGCGGGCACGTGATTTACACACATAAAAATACATAGGCCTAACGTTACTACTTTTTTTTCTTCGTCATTTTCTTTGCTTTATTTGTGGTAGTCCAGTGTTCCCCTTTATGTCTGGCGGTTTCGCCGGGTTCCGCAAGGAAGTTAGAGAAAATAGAGGAGTTTACCTCCTAAAGTGAAAGAAACTCACTTTAAAGTAATGAACGACATTTATCCCTCTAAAGAATTACTGAGACTTCGCTTTGGTATAGAGGATAACACATGTACATTCTGTGAAAATGATGTTGAAACTACGGACCATGTGTTTTTCTCATGTAATGTGATTCAGATATTTTGGTGTGATGTACATAAATGGGTTGAGCAGCAGATATCTTCATTCCCAACCTCTATATCCAGAGACGATGTTACATTTGGGTTGTTATTGCAAAGCAAGGGTGATGAGCTATGTATTAATACAATTGTATGTCTAGCCAAATTCTTCATTCATAAGTGTAGAACTGTGAAATCATCTCCCAAATTTGTAGTTTTCTTGAAGGAATTTGAACTGTATATAAATCTTTAAAAACTTTGAAAGGTCCTAAGGCACAAAAAATATATGATACCCTAAAAACTCTTCCCAACTGAGATTAATGGATGAACAAAGACTGC